CAGAAAAACATGGGGAAATGGGAACAGAATGTGCACGCTATTCATACTGAAGAAGGCCTGGTATAATAGTATAATTAATAAACCTTCGCAGACCTCTATTAATAGCTCCTGGAACCTGAGCAAGGAATGCAGGGATGGTTTTGCTAGGGCTCATTCTGCAAAGGTGAAAATCTTTTGCTTACTGTTTTCACATTTGTCATTGCCATGCTCCATCAAGCTTAGTGCTGTAAAGGCAGTAAAGGAAAGCAGGGGACCAGAGGAGAGAGGAGATGGGGAAATCCTGGCCTGTGGCTGAATGCATTTTGACGGCTTTACAAGCACAAAGGCTGGATGAAGTCATGTTGTAAAATTACTTGTCCATTCATGCATAGGGCTGAGAAGGAATCCTATACAACTAAATTAAATTTAAATTATCATATGCCAAATTTGCATTAATATTCAGGGAAAAAGGATCATTTTTTTTCAGGCAGTGCATTGATTTAGTTTTAAATACTAATAAATTCCTCCTGCCTCACTGGACACCAATGGCATATTCCCCCTTAGCTCCTGCCTTGTGTAACACTAGCCTTGCACCCTAAACATAGGGCTTGGCTCTGCAAGCCAAGAGGAAGCATCCCACAAAGGGCAGATAGAGCCTCGAAAGCAGCACAGACCCCCCAGCCAGAAGGCTTATTGAGGCAGATGTGTTTCTCGTCTCCCCGTTTTTTCCAGGCACGTCTTCCCTAAACCTCTCCGCCCTGCCATGAGGGTTGCCAGGGCTGTGCAGGGACCCAGACCAGCAGCACATAGCTGTGCAGCCCCCGGGGAGGGAGGGCTGGGAGGCTGCCACCAGTCTCTTGGCCCTCTCAGTTCAGCCCCCCCCTCCCCAGCAGTCCCTACAGGTTTCATTGCTGAATGTCTCAGCCCCTGGAGTACCACAGTAATTTGGCACTGATGCCTTAGTCACTTAATTATTCTTTACAAAGGAGCCTTTGAATTTCTTTTTCCCCACCTTGCCTTCTTTCCTCTCCCTCCCTTTTCCCTCTACACGTTTTGACTCAATAGTTTTCCTAGAAATTGTATAAACTTGCTGTTTATTTCTTGCCATCTAACATGCTGTGATCTATCTTTTATTGTTAATATTTTTATTCTCTGCAGCGTCCCTGTTGCCTGTCTCTAAGTTCATTCTGTTTCCTCTTTCAAAAGCACTATATTTTTCCTCTCAGTATTTCTGCTTAGCTCTATTAACTTTTATTTATTTTTCTTTCACTCCTTCACCATGTTTCTTTTCTTAGGTGCTGTGCACCATCTGTATATCTGTTTCTGCCTCTCTCGTGCTCCCGCAACTAGATTACTCTCTGACTGCCTTTGATCACCACAGCCCCTTGTCTCCTCTCCCCACATACTCCCTTCCCTAATAAGTGCTATTTAAAACTGGCCATATCCCTTCTTGGGTTCCCCTCCTCTGGTTTCCAGCTGTTGCCTGTGAAAAATACCTGTGTAGGAGTGTTGACGTCATGAGCTCTGGCAAGCCAAAGCTGTTTAGAGTACCTCAGTCAAGAAGACTCAAGATGCAATAAGAGAAGATGAAGTCAATGTATGATTTTTCCAAAGCATGAATATTCTTAATTCTGCATTTTCTGAGAGAGAAAAAAAAAAAAAGAAGAAAAAAAATCCCTCCTCCTCTTGACATCTCTTACCCAGTTTGAACATCTCACTATGCAAACAAATTAGTTCCTCCTAATAAAGGTTAGAAAGCGAAAAATAAGCCTGAAAATGGAAGTATAAACTTACCCATAACTGAAGAATTAGAATCAGTGCCTAAAAAGTAAAGGAAATTCTCCATCCAAAGAGAGATGTGCACCAAGGAATCACGATCCCTCTGTTCCCCAGTGCCTCGGCCATCTCCCCACACCACTGCTTCCCACAACAAAGGGAGCAGGAGAGCCCTCGATTACTGTCTTTTCAAAGCACTGTGAAAATAGATGTCAGGAGAGCATCCTGTGACTGCTGCTCCAGAGCTCTGGCCACCAGCTGCAGACTACGTGTAAAGGACAGAGGGAGGCAGCAGCAGGGCATTTGAGTGCAGAGGCCACTGTAGTGCGGGCTGCTGGGGAATAAAAATGGCCAAGAACCAGGCTGGAGCAAGCTGCTTTTTACAGCAAGCATCTGCAGCAATGTGGGCAGGTCACTCCCTGCCTCCCCAAGGGAGCAGGTCTTCTCCTGGATGGTCTGGACACAGCCATCCCTGCTGCCTCCCTCTCCTGAGGTTGTGTCTGGACTCACTGGGGGAATAAAGGTAGGGCTCGACCTGGCCTGAAGCATCTCTGTTCTGCCACATCGGCTTTGCTGCCCACTGTGTGTGTCCTCTCGCTGCAGACAGATCCTGTGGGGAGGAAGCAGGAGCTGCTCCAGAGCACACAAGCAACCTGATCCACACACATCTTGGAGAAAAAGCTTGCCAGCTGACAGGGCTGGTTATAGGCACCCACGTCTACCCAGCCCACAAACGGGAAACGAGGCAGCATCGAGAAATGAAGTTCATTTTCTTCTCCTTGCCTTTTCCAGAATCAGACTGAAACTCATCAGGGTCACAACTATATGGATTACAGCCAAGGAGAAAGGTTATTTATGTGCCTCTAAGAAATAAAAACAAAGTTGAGAAAAAAACAACCCAGCACACAGGCAGCAAAGCTGGAAGGAGAAATGCCATCCATGCATTCCAGGTTAACAGGACTGAACCCAAATCTTCTTCCAAATGTCAACAAGGTTTAAAACAGGACCCAGAGTGAAAACTGCATCTCAGACCCAGACACTCACTAATGCAACTCTGAATCGTAATATCCTTAAATCTCCCTGTGGGAAGGTATGTACAGTAGAATGGTAGGTAAAACTCGCACACCATTTTGGTTTCTTATCTCCCCTATTTTTTTAGACTATCTTCAACAAACTATGAATAGTTTCTGAATTTTACACCAGAGAATTTGAGAACGTGTTTGTATCTACACACATATGCATGTGTGTGCATGTACCTAGGCATGCTGATAATACACATGCATCTACATCTATGAACATACATGTATTAAAAACCCAGAGGTTCTTTTGCCAGATGTACATACGACATACTGGACTTCCCCTTGTCCCAATCTGCCCATTTGTGGTGCACAACACTTCACTGGTTCTGCACCTCATAGCATGTTCCAATATCCCATATTCTCATTATCCTCAGACTCACTGAGCCTGGCTCTCCCCCCTGGAGGCTGTTCAGCACAGAAATTTGTGCTTAGCTGAATTTTCACCATAGCTCTGCAATTCACCTTTACAAAAATAAACTCTCCTACGTGGAACTTTTGCAATCAGCAAAGAGACGAGAACAAACAAACAGGAAAACAGTCCCGTCAGCAATTCTGTAGCCATGTAAACCACTCACTAGGAGCCGGGGAAAAAAAATGGCCACCATCCCAACGGTGGGCCCTGCGCTGATGCTCCTCTCCTGCTCAGCCGGCCCTCCCCTGTTTATCCGATCTAATGCAATAAAATGCGTAATTAATTTCTAAACGCTTCCGTTGAACGGTGCAATTTGTCAAGTCGAGTTGTTAATAGAATTAAGCTTTTTATCAGCGATTAGCAAAAGAAGGTAAAAAAAAAATTAATTACGGAATTGTATGCCTCCCTGCTTCAAAGCCAGGTTTGGGATTAAATGTTTGATAAAGGTTCCCTGGCACGTTATAAAACATTTAGCAAAAGCCGCTTTCCCCATGGTGTTTTCTGCAAAACAGCCTCTGTGCAAGAGGGGAGAGGCAGAGGGAGGAGGGTGCAGGCAGTAAGTATACTTGGTCACATGGAGGGGGGGGCTGGCTTCAAATCGTGCAGAACTTATTGTATGGGAACACATCCCCGTATTGTATTCTGTTGGCACTACATCCTGCCTGCCTCGACTTCTCAAGCATCCTCTGTTGTTTGTACAGATAATCTATAGTGACAGGGGATTACAGGCAATACTGGTTATTTCTACCTGTGTGTCAAGAGGTGGCCCAAGCCCTGGCCTCAATGGAAGGACTGTACTGCACCATGCAACGAGGAAGCACATATAACATGGGCTGGTTATGTAGTAGGAAGTTCCCCTTATAACCTTTCTCATTCTAGTAAATCTATACCTTATGAAAGGTTGACTATGTAGACCTACAGAGTACACCCAGAGACAAGCCAGCACTGCCCTCTGCAACATAGCTAGTGCTGGATCATCACTAAACCCGCATGCTTTGCACCACAGTGAGGAAAGACGAACAGAGCAGAGATGGGGCTGAAGAAGCACCATCTCCACAGCACAAGAAGGAGTCACAGCATCATCCTTTTCCAGTGAGTCTGCCTGCACAGACAGGAGCTGAGAAGAACTGGCAACCCAAGCAAACTACCTTCTCTGGACGTTGTGCCACTTATTACTGATGACAGAAATACTGCAATCTCCCTCTTTCTTGCAAATTATACTGTCTGTTTACACCTGACTTCCACAGACAATAGTGAAAAAGTGTGCCTGAGGGACCTTGTTTTGGAACACAGTCTAGCCCAGGCGTTTCCCTGCCAAGGCCCAACTCTGTGGCACTCTTCCAAAACATATATATTCAGTTTCTCCATGGATCCACCTCAGGTTTACCAGCAGCAAAGCAAGGGACCCATCCAAGAGACAGCTTGCCACCCTTGCAAGGACAGGCTGGGAAATATCACTGTGGGACATTTGGAAACTTTGTTAAGCAAGAGAGGGGCAGAGCACCCTGATGATGTGCTAGGGGATTTTTTGGGGAAGCTCATCTACACAGGAGGATGAAATGCAGCAGCAGTGGGTGGCAAGGGCGCAGGCAGAGCTGTCAAAAGAAGTGCTGGCTGAGGAGATCTGGGAGGCTGCAGGGCAGGCAGAGAGAGCTGCATCAACAGAGCTTTAAGGCACGATACAGAATTAAACACTGACAACAGTTATGTTTCTGTGCACACCAGCTTAATTAGCAGCACGAAGCTTTCTGACACCTCCATTTCACGCTGTCTTTATAGTAAGTTTCTCAACAGGCTGAATTTCTGGCAGCTCAGCACATGCTCTGTGCAATGGCCATGCAACTAGCAGGAAGGAAATGAGGAGGAGGTGAAATCTTTAATCTGATTCCTGATCCTACTGCCAAGATAAAGTTACAAAGCTAATGGCACATTTAAGTACCTCAGATCCCCACAATGAGACAGGAAGGGAACTGTGAGATGCTCTTGAGCAGCCTCCCCACCCCACATCATCAGCTCAGCCCCTGTTTTCTACTCCTAATAGATCTGACCTCGGTGAGGATGGATGTGGAGTGCCCAGGACAGACTTCTCACTCTAATGCTTGCATGTGTTAGCAGCCCTGATCTGAGGAGGAGCAATTACTGAGAGAGCTAGAAAGGACTGTAGTGTTGGTGGACTACAGCCAAGCCATAGAAGACTAGTCGAGCATGGGGTTCAGCTCTTACAGTACACATCTATTTAAATGCAACTCACAGTTCAGTGTCTATTTCCTTTTAGATACCCATCAGCTATCTAGGATTTTGATTGGGATTTTTTGGTTTATTTGTTATTCGACCTCAATTATCACATGCTCAGTCAGTTACTGTTCACCCCTTGAACCAGATTTGTCAATTCCTCTTCTTTCTCTCTCCTAGCTGTTCCCTTCCTTCAAAAGCTGGTAGATTGTTATCATTCATGTCCCGTCTTAAGTTGCCACTTAGCCAACCTCGCCATATTTAGCTTCTTTAATCTTCCCTAATAAGTCAATCCTTCAGCCCTTTAATCATGCTAGCTGTGCTTCTCCAGATTCTCTATGATTCGTCTGCATCTTCCTGGTGTTGAGGTGCCTGGAAGGCAAAATAGGCTTGTGAGCTGTGCTGAACAAGCCATTTTCTGAGGACATGAGGGCAAGAGGCCACAGCCCAAATTCTGTAGGGTTTGTTTCTTCTCCCCCCACTGCTATGCCTATTGCATTATCCCAAAGATCTTAGAGGAGAGGTCTCCTTGACAAAGCTGCAGTTAAAGCTGCTGGTTGTTAAAGCCTAGTTTTCCTTTCACCTGCTCCACACTGATGTGGGTGGGTGGCAGTTATTTGCCCTATTTTCCATGAGAAAACCAGCCAGCAAGCCCTTTCTTGACCTGTATCTTTCCATTTAGAAGAGCTCCATTGAGGGTTGCAAAAGGGTTCTGCAAGGAAAAAGGCAGACCCATCATTCTCCCCTTCTAAGTCCTTGTGCTTTCCGCTCATATGGCATGAGTGTCATGCTGAAATGTCATTGGTTTGGGGTCTTGATATGGAAACTCATAAGTGTTGTGAAAAGTAGGAACCAGAAAAAGAATTGGAAGCTTCAAGCTGGACACTGGCCTTTTGAGTCAGCTTGTGAAAATCCTTCCCCTCCTCTGCAGTTCTGTTCCATCGAAGTGGAGTGGTATTTACTTCCTTTCCCATTCAAATTCTCAAGCACTGAGAAATGTATTCAGGTTTTGCTTAATAGCTCCACATACCAGAATAATTCGATTCACAGATTTCTGCCAAATGTAGCCAGCATTTTGATTCAAAGCTGCTAAGTGGTTTTATTTCATTTCTGCTTCCATCAAAAGAACCCCACAACCAAGTTCAAGTATACTCAACAATCCTGAGTTCCCTTACTTAAACTGACATTGTTCTCAAGGAGATATCCTAGACAATACCCTATTTTGCTTTTCTTTAAGCCTCTATCTAAATTCTTTCACAGCAGTAAACACATGTTGCAAGTGTCTCTACATGAAAGCTTATTATTCTCATTAGTAAAAGAAAAAGTGCTTGCAGAGGCAATAGACAATTTGGGAAGTGAATGCAAAAGTGTCTTCCCCCAGGGAAGTTTCATTGTCAGGCCCCTGGAGCCCTCTCTGCCAAGCAGACGGATATGCCAGCCTGTACACATAACAAGGACAGAACTATATTTTGGTGTTGATTTATACTGGAAAACATACTAGTGTGTGTCACATTGATTTAAACTAAATTATCAAAAAGAGAATAAATAAATAAATAATCGCTACCCTGACAGCTCTGCGTGGGAGGTCTCTGCCCATTGTCATTTAAACTTGGTAGTACACTCACATAGGTGCACAGCTTAGCAAAACGTGACTCACATTCACATGGGTTGGATGCTCCTCAGCCCAGAGCTCTCTCTGTAGCAGCGAGAGGGAAGAACAGGATGCAGAAACCTGTATGGAGTTCAACTCCCTGTTCTACTAATGACCTCCTCTGGGGGATGGGGCAACACTCACTGGCCCGCTACAGCATGCCTGAAAGCCCAGTGAAGACAGTCTCCGAGGAAGTCTCACCATGGAAGGAACAAGCTGCTGCATCTGTATGTCACAGTGATGTGCCATGTGAAGATTCTAGCCTTGCCTCGTGAGTGTGGAATGATTCCCAAGAGAATGAGGGCTGTGTCTGAGCTCACAAGTGCCTCTGTGACATCACTACAGTGCTTCCCAATGGGACATGAGAGCAGCCAGGTTCCAACTCAGTGAGGAAACCAGCTGCCTTCTTCCCCAGGGATGTCAGGATGGGGGATACAACAAAAATCAATGATTTGCTCAAATGCCAGTGCCACTGACCAGATGAAAACCACAAAAAAAAAAAGGGAAAAAATCCTCTTCTTTCAAAATAATCTTTTGGCATTTCTGTCCTTTTATCTTGGGCAAGCAGTTTTTATGCCTTGGCTATTGAACACCCAATCATTTTGCAAAGCAGTTCTAGTAGCCAGTTTCAGGACTACCAAAAAAAAAAAAAGTGGGTGTTCAATTCATGTCACTTCAAATATTTAGGACATGATTTCAGCTCAAATCACGTAAGGTTTTTTCCCTCAAAAGCCCTTTCCCTAGCAGCTGGGGAGGGCCAAGGGTGGCTGAAAGAAGCTCTAATCAAATGTTTCAAGAGAAGCTGGCTGATAGGCACCGTGGTACAATTTATAGCTGGCTGGATGCAGGTACTGTAGTTTTGCAATCATGCCAGCTATCAATCAAGCTCTATTCTATTGGTCTTTTATGTCTTGTACTCCAAATTCCAAGCTGAGCTTTGTCAATGGAAGAAAGTATTCTGATAATTGCAGATGATTCTCCCACTGGATGCTTTCATGTATCATAACACATTTGGGCAGGAATGACAGTCTTGGGATAAAATATATCCAGGGCTAGGAGAGTGGGGCAGAGAGAGGTACTGGCCCAGATGGGAGGCAGGTCCGGGAGAGCAGGAAGGATGCAAAGCACTGGTCTCACCCTCAGAGTTGCCCAACAACAGGAAAGTGAGCCACCACCACAACAACCTAAGCTCAGTGGCGCGTAAAGGCTCTGCAACTCTTTGTTCAGCTCCCATGCTGACCTGTGTAGGGTTCCATGGATACTCAGTGTCCCCTGCCCTCTTGTACACAGTACAAGCCAGTGACAGGAGACGCGACACTTCATTTTTTCAATCAACCTTTGTTAAACTGCCTCCTAGAAAGTCTCTCTCCCTGGCATGGAGAAGAGCCCTCTCAAACAGCTTTTGGCCACTGACATGGACACAGACAGCTTCTCCCATGGCAGCAAAGACACAGCTGTCCAAACAGTGTCACTTTCAACAAACATCATACTCCCATTTCAAGCTGCCCTGGAGAAGATGTCCCCTCACCTGGTTAGGAACAGACTGGAATGAAAACAAGAAGTTTAGCAATACTCAGTGAAAGAGCATATACTCTCCACCAAAAGTTTACTACAAGGACAAAATGTACCTGTGCTTCAGCATCCCCTGAGTTTGACACTCTGAGGATATAAATCCCTCCCTCTTGGATAAGGCAGGAGTGCCTGATGTGCCAGGGCGAGCAAGCAAATTCATGCACTGCAACTCACCTTAGCAGATGAAAGTGCTAGGGCATGGTTTTGGTAGTGATCTCCTAATAGGCCTAGAAGAGATTTATTTTGCCAAAGGTTTTTCTGGAGCTTATTTCAAAATTGTATCTCAGTCTTTGCTTCTACACAGTTTAAGAATAGATAAACCCACCATATTTTAGGGTTCATTTTCATTTGAGTTTCCTATTGGGAAGTGGGGATATGTTTAATGGAGGTAATTATGACCTGACTGAGGGATGGTATAGCTGTTGAATTCATTAGGAAATTGTATGTTATTTCATATCCCAACAAACTTGCATCTGCCTCTTCCCTGATGCAGTAACTCTTTGAATCTACACGTGTGCCAGGATGTGCAGGGCTCGCAGAATTACCATCTGTTTCCCTGTCATAAGCAGCCCAATGGCATGCACGCTGCTGAAACAACAGCCTGCTTTGGTAATAGGCTTTATTTTATTTCTGCCACTGCTTTGCATGGATCAATTATACCTCTTCTGCTCTCCGGTAAGAGATTCCCAGATGAGGAGGCCACATTTGCCCTGTTGCAGCTAGGCACAGGCCTTCACTGTTCCTGATGGTAGGAAAGCTGTTTTTCATTACCACACATGTTGCAGCACCAAATCTGACACAAACTTCATTGTGCAGAGCTTCCCCTCTCCTAGCTCTGGCCTCCCAACACATTTTTCTGCCATGTCACCATGAAACACCTTTTCGATTATTTCACCTTTGCATTGCGTACAGCTCCCCAGCTCTGGAAAGGCCTGCGATTCTCCCCCATCCAGAGCTTTCTTCTTCAGCCTCTCCCTAACAGTCCCCTACATACAAACAGCTTCGAATCCAGGCAGGAAGGTAGCTCTTTATCAGCCCACCAGGATCTGAAGCTGCATACATTGAGATGGAGAAAAGGATGCTCCAGAGGATGTGTTATTATCCACTGAGCACTTTGCTGACTGAAGGAGGGTAAGCCCATGCCAGGGGGAATGGGAGGGGAGACATGAGAGAGCCCAGCTTGGGGCTTCCACCACTCTCAAAGGGAGTGCTTGCATTTTGCTTCTGCTTCTCCTTGGAGTTGCAATTACTTACAACGTTAAAACAACCTTAACCCCCATCCCCAACAGGCACCATCCCCCTCCCCTCTGCTCCACACAAGAGGAAAATTGTGGAGAAATATTACTTAATTATCACACCACGTAACTAATTAAAAGCTGAATGCTTGTGTGTGGTATGCTAATGGGGCATTAGAGAGTCAGCCTGCTTTGGTAAAGACATGATCCCCCTCTTTCCCCCTTCACCTTACTGCGGGAGCTTCAGGCTGACAGGCACCTGGGATGAGGTGGAAATTTATTATGCTGCCTTCAAGTTCACAGTTTCACAGAGGGCACCAAGGTCGAGCAACTTCATCAGTACGAAAGAAGAAATCACCTGGGCAGGCGCCAGGAGTGAGCTATATGATGTGAGTGGCTTGCTATGGAAATTACGTACACAGTGGGGCTTCACATGTATCCTGAAGCCCATTTTTTCCTTTGTGGGGTTCTTGGTAGGAAACAGGAGAGTCTCTGGAAAAAGATTCTTATTGCATTCCCTGCTCATTGCCGGATGTGTTAAACTAGAAGATCTTAAAGGATCCCTTCCAACCCAAACTGTTCTATGATTCTAAGATGTGTATATTGAGTATAGACAAGCACACTTCAATTCCTCTTCTCCTACCATGTCATTACACCATCTGGTGCCAAGTGCCAGCCCTCTCCTTTCAGCTGATGCTGTGCTACAAGTCCATACTTTCTTGTCCATTCACAGCATGGATCACCAAATATATTAATTAAGGAGGGAGTCTATTCGGCTTTGTTGAGTTTTACTTAATCACCATGGTACTTGCACATACACCCCAAGATTTGTCCTGACGCCCGTGCACTACAGGACGGGCCTGTGTGATCTGGGGTAGCCAGGAAGCCGTCCCACCACTGTTTGGGGACAGTGAGGGGCCCTGCATGGTAGCTACAGCAGCACACTCTATCAGTTGACCCAGTGGATTCTGCAGTACCTCATTATTTGTATGAATCTTTGTATGCCAAGTTATGTATGCTGGACCTGCTGGGGTTGTTTCCCTGATGCCACCTTCCAGACAGAGGTAGTCCCAGTCACCTTCCACTTTCAACCCACAGAAGGCAGGTATCCTTGAAGAATGTAGTGTTTTCTATAGCTTGTCCTTCCTTAAAAGGCTTTGGGTAGAGACTTAGAGCCCTAGAGCAAAGAAAGTGTCACCACTGCCAGCAAGGAGAGGCAGGGATTTATCCTGGTTTAAGGGAATCATTGTATCCCTGTTACCACTGCCTGCTAAACTTCACATGTACCTCTTGTCTGTGAGCTGCCGACCCCCATCGTGAGGGTCATGATTTCTTGAGGCACAGAACTGCAACAGCCCAGCATGCAGCCAGTGCTGCCACAGGACCCGAGGCCCAGCAGTCAGCACAGTTGCACTGTGGAGAAGCTTTTATCCCATCCACCCCATTTCCCAGAGCTGGAGGGGAACAGATGGGGCTGGCTGGCTGGAGAAGGTCAGCAAGTGACCATGCACTGCCTGTGAGCCTCAAAGCTGACACTGCCTGTTTCTTCCTCTTGCAGGCCTCCTGTTGCCCACTTGTCCTGTGAGTGCCTGCCAGCTGTGTCTGCCAAGTCCAGGGTGCCCAGATGTCCCACTTCACAACCCTTGGGATTTGTGTGATGAGCCAGGTTCCTCCACCAGACTCATCCCAGTCCACTGTTTACCAAGAGTTTTGGCAAACAATTTCTGTGAAGGCACAACAATCCCTCTGCTGAGCAACCACAGATCATTTCTTTCTAGTTAAAATTTGATCTCAAGCTCGGATCCTCATTCTGTCCTATCTCCATCTGGAAGGGGGTTCTAGAAGTTGTTTTCCAATCACTAGCCAAACACCCTATCCTAGGCTGATGTGACACAGCCCCAGCATGGCAGGAGGGTGCTCCTGTCTTGTGTGTTGGTTCTATTGCTGGCACATCAACACTAAAGCCATGTGGATGCCCTGTCCCAGCAGAGACAGAGGATAGACAGTGGTGGGAAGGAAGGCAAGAGCTCAGCCATGGCGCTCAAAAGTGAAGGAGGCAGAGTACATTCCACCAAACTCATGCCAAAGAACAACAATGATGAAGAGGCAAAAACCTCTTAAGGAAGATACAGTTCTTCGCTGCTCTAAGATTCAAGTTCATGGCAAAACACTTGCCCTGTGCTCTGAAGACGAGCACAGCATTCCTTGTGGTTGGCCTGTCCTTGTCCATTAGCTCCTCTCCAGGAAAGGATCTTCTCCTCACCTCCATTTGGTCCCAGCAGCTCCCTTTGGGTAGCTCTCTCCAGCCAGCTGCGCTCCCACTGAGCACAGCATAGAGTGATGTCCTCATTCCCTCACTGTTACTCTGTCATCTCTGTCATTTCAGAGTTGATTCGCAACCATTCAGGTTTGGCAGAGCATGCTCACAGTGTGTCTCAGCTGATGCTTG